TGAGGGGGTCGAGGAGGAGGGGGAAGGGGGAGGAGGAGAGGATGCGACGGAGGAGGGAGGAGGAGGGGAAGAGGGGGGAAGGGGAGGAGCAGAGGATGCGATGGAGGAGGGGAGGGGAGGGGAGGAGGCGGACTGAGCCGAGGAGGGCGTCGTGGAGGAGGAGGGTGCGAATGAGGAGGGAGGAGGAGGGGAGGGGAGGAAATGGATTGAGTTTTAATTGGGAAGAAGGGTAATTTGGGAAGTGGGTTTCTTGGGCAGTGAGTTTGAGGGTTAGTTGCATATATTTTTTAATTTTAGGGCTTATGGGTTATGTTTGTTGGGCTGGGGGTGGGGATGATTGGCCTAACTTATTTTGCTTCCTCCAAGCAATTTTTCCTAAATTAAATGAGTGCCATCTCAATAACTAGTAAATGGGCAGCAAATGGACAGGCATAGGCCCAGCCCATTTGCCCGGCCCATTAACTCAAATCCAAACACATTTTATTCTGCAAGTTTGTCCACCTGCTAACTCCTATATATATATATCTCTGATCGCCATCGTTTCTCTTTCCTCAAGAAGCCCTAATCCTCTCTCATCTCGCCGATTCTCGCCGATTCTCTCCGTGATCGAGCTTGAAATCTTTCAGCGAGCACACGATCTCTCGCAGCGTTTCTAAGTGGAGGCAGATGATCCTTGTGTTTGCGCGTGATTGAGGTAAGTTTCTTTTCTTTTTTCTTTTTTTTTGGTTTTTTCCCTTTAAATTTTGTCGAAACCGTGGTTTGATGTAAGTGAGGCCATTACGTCGAATTTTTGCTGGTTTTGTGTATAGAAGGGTTTACATTTAGGTTATTTTTAGGTATGAGTTGTGAGGGATTAGGATTTTATCCGTACTCAGGGTGAATATTTAGTCCTCGCCTTGGAACCAAATTAGCTCTGAATGCCTTTATTGATTCATTATGTTGGTAAATCTTGAAACTCGTTGTTGGTGAGATGATTGTGTTTTGACTATACTCTGGGTAAATGGGACTTGACACATTCTGATTATATTCCTAATATCCAATTCTATTATCTTAGATGTACAGTTGGATATCTCCATGAATTTGATTCATTATGTTGGTAAAGCTTCGATGTAATAGCAGTAAAGAAAATTATTACTAAGTTGAGGTGGTTCCTGTTTTGTAGGAGATCTGGATAAGTCGATTGAGAAAACAACCATGGAGGAGGAACAGGTAAATCAGTTATCCTCTTCATTAAGCATTCTTTTTTTGGGTCTTTTCTTGAAGTTGTGAAATTAGTATATTAAATGTGATAGTTCCTTTTTTTGGTGTTTGGACAAATACTAGGTAGACATGATCAGAGTTTTGAGTTCTTTTCTAAGATTAGCATAGATGAAAACAAACTCATAGTGAGCAAATATGTGAAAACAAATACTAGATAGACATGATTAGAGTTCTGAGTTTTTGCCCCCCTGGTGTTTGGACAAATACTGGGTAGACATGGTTATATTTTTGAGTTTTGAGTTCTTTCTACCATCAGTGTCTAAGTTTGAAGGACAGTTTATAGATCTGTCCAAAGGGAGGTCGACTCTGCCTACTTTTTCTCTGTGATTCATTGTTAATGTTAGTTTCTAATTTGAGTTAGTAGCATTGTTAGCCCTTTTTGTAGCTTGTCGACTTCTTCTGAGCCGAACTCAGGTAGACCTTTTGATGCTTGTGAGCTATCAGATGGTTTATTTCGTGACGTGTCTTTCTTCATTTTATCGTCCCCTCGTATCCCAATTGCGAGTAATGTTTGAGGCCAGTCATTGAATTCTTCTTTTCGGGCGTCTCTGATGTTAGAGCATCTGAAGAAGAATGTAAGTACATGAATGTTACAACAAGCCTAAAGAAGGATAAAGAACCTTTCTCTAAATTCGTAATTGCCAGTCTTCTCTCTTGTGGTTAAGTATTTAATATACTCTAACCATCATCCTTGTCACCAGAAATTTTAGTTAGAGGACATTTAACTACAGAAAGCTAAAGAAAAAGAGAATGATAACTTCCATTGTTAATTGAGCCATATTCTGTCCCTTTTGTTCTAATATTTCAAAACTCTGCCAATTAACTTCTGAAGAAACAATCATCGGAAGACAACAAATTTCAACAATAAAATAGTTTCAGAAACAAGAATGAATTATCACAATAAGATCAAACAATGGAGTAACATATAGCCAATTTCCACTTCAGACAAATTATTTATTCTTTCCTTAAAAAAGAGACAACTAATAGTCGAATTAGACTGTAGAAGAGACTCACTTTTTCACACTGCATGTGGTTTTTGATGCATCCTGTTTCACGCTTTTATGTACTAAAAAAAAGTGAATTAAAAGCATATGAAATTTCTTCATGCTGAGAAGTTAGTGAAGCACAAATATAAAAACTATAGGTAAAGAATGTGTATTCTTCTTTGAGTATTCAGTATGTACTCTCTATTCTAACTCAAAACTAATCTATAGTAAGAAAACCCATATCCTTAGGTGACATTTATGCCTATATCTGTCTGAAAGTTCAACAAGATCCACATCATGAAGTTAATCTAGAACCATAAAGATACTTATCTTAAAAAGGAACACAAGTTGAGACTGAATCATCTCTTACTATGCGTGAACACTGGGCTCAAGTTGTATATCTTATTCTCTTGTTTTCCATATACCTTTCATCCAGTTGAATATCTGCCTCCAAGAACCCGAAACCACTGAACCCAGTAACTTATAATTAACTGACAAAAGTAGCATGAAGTTGAAATTAGAAGCAAGTATCAGTCCTGGATCTTATCATAAAAGAACAGTGGTATGCATTTCTTACCCTCATGTTTCCAACCCGTCGAGTTGATCTGTCTTGTAAAGGATCCTCAGCCAATATGCTTTTCTTACCCTCATATTTCTAACCCGTTTGAAGATCTGTCTTGTAAAGGATCCTCAGCTAATAAGAGGAGACACAGGAATAGCTATTAGTTAAGGTTGCTGAGGAAGTTCTTTAGGTTAGAATGTAGGATCGTTGCTCCCTGTCTGTCTGTTATCCTGAATGCGTAACATCAGATACCACTAGCAGAGAGAAACAGACAGAGCAAAGGGAAACACTAAAACCAGTGATCTAAAGTATAACTGTAATTTTTTTAATGCATCTTTATGTTGAAATGAGTTCTTTCCCCCTTATAGTACTAGGAAGACATATTGAGAAACCCTTTTTATCTTATTTGACAAGTTTGCAACAATTGCTTCTATACTGATCCTCAAGAATTTCACAAATAATGCAAGCCATGTGAATCTTGATTCTCTGAATTACTATAATATTTAGAATTTAATCTCAGAGAAGAACAAAAAACCCAAAACAAAAGTTAGACAAACCCTTTTGATGAGTACATTCTAAGTTTCTAACCCTCTGATTTAAAGTCAGGCAGGATGAGGTTGTAGTTGAATTGTTCTTTTGATGCATTATCAAAATATTGAGGGCAGGATAACTAGGTTCCTTTGCCTTGAGACAGAGTTAACAATGTAAGAGCCAAATGTATGTGAGAGAGAAATGAGAGAAGCAACTTTTGTTTTGGTTTCTTAACAAGGAATTTCAGGTTTTCTTTGAGTATATTTGACTCAATTATACATGTCCTCAAGATGAAGTCTCATGGTTTATGTTATTTGCTAATGACAAAGTATTAGTTGACAAGACTAGACAATGTATAATATCTAAAGTAGAAAGGTGGGGACAAGGCATGAAAACTAAAAGTTTTAGAATTAGTAGAACAAAAACAACATACACAGAATGCTTATTTAGCAAAACTAACAAGAGAAAAGAGCCTATAGTACATCCTGACAGCCATGAAATACCTAAAAGTAAATAACAAAATAAGCAGAGGACATAACATAGTATTGTCCGACTCGTGAGGATAGGTGTAATTATATGTATTCCTAAAGTAAGTACTAAAGTATCATATTCTCTTTCTTGAATTATCATCAATTTTATATGTATTTTTTTTTTAAAAAAAAGAGACCTTATTATATGATGATGAGATTGAGGATAATGTTGTCCATCAATTTGATATTCTTATGTGATCATAGAATACCTATGAACTAAAGGGAAAATTTTATAGAACAGTTATAAGACCAACAATGCTTTATGGGTAAGAATATCAAGCTATTAAGAAACAACATGTGCAAACAAGTGAACATAGCAGAAATGAGAACGTTACAATGGTCCCGTGGGTATACATTAAAAGATAGGATAAAAACGAGTGCATTTGTAATAGATTAGAGGTTGCTCCGATTAAGGAAAAATGAGAGAGAATAGACTTAGGTGGTTTGGTCATGTACAATAGGCACCTCTTAGTGCACCTTAGGAAAATTGATAATATTGTAGTCAATGGGAGAATGAGATTTAGACGTAGAGCTAAAAGGACTTGGTTCGGAGCAATTAAGAAGGATATGATAATGGTTAATTTAATGGAGATATGACCCATAATAACGCAGAATGGAAGAATAGGACTTATGTAGCCGACCCAAACATTTGGGATAAAGGATTTGTTGTTGTTTGTTATACATGTCTTCAAGACCTTCATTTTGTAGAGTGTGGTCTTTGTATTTATAGATCAGGATAATTGTATTATTGGGGTTAGACCTATTTGACCTTAAGGCCACTCTCATTGAATATTCTTTATTTCTCATTGTTTAAAGGATAGAGATGTTTGAATGACAAAGTATTTGATTGGTAGCAGATTAAGCTGAAGTTTTATTGTGAGTTCACCCAACTGTGTGGCTAAAAGGAGAGCTGAGTTAACATCGTTTTGTAAGATTTGAATAGCAGCATATACAAATGCTTAGCAATTAGGATCTATCCTATTGGTGTTAGACTTGTAAGTTAGAATAAGATCAGTATAGATGAAAATAAATTCATAATAAGCGATCTCATCAGTGTCTATGCTGTGAAAAGGTATGTTGGCTCTTCCTTGCTGTCCTCTCTTTAATTCATTGTCAGTGCTAGTTTTCTGATTTTGAGTTAGTAGCTTTGCTAGCTCTTTTTCTAGCTTGCCACCATCTAATTTGACAGAAAGACAGATGGGATTGTGTTCCAGAAATCAATGTTTGATTGGCACGTCAGTGACGTCACCATATATATCATTTTCAGTAATACCTACTTGTAAATTTGGCCATCTGTAGCAATAGCTCTTATGAAACTCTGTAATAACAACATAATGTTTTGATGAACTAATTCCATAGTTTCTTTGGTTGTGTTGGCGTTTAGACAAATATTTGTGGATCTTGGTGAAATTACATTAATTCTTTGTCGTTTCTTCATGTGTAGATGAATATTTGTGGATCTTCTTTGAAATTTATCTGAAATGTAATGGGCACACCCATTCAAATTTTTTTTATCTTAAATGTTGTGGGGATTTTAACTTTTTACTTTCACTCATGATGGCCTTATTTCCTTTAAAAGTACTGAAAATAGAAGAGAAGAGAGCAAGAAATGAGATTTTTTAATGTATTTTTACAGATGGTGTTTTTGTCTCCCTGACAAGTTTGATTTTTTTTTTAAATAATAGAATTCGCCTGTTCATTTCTATTTTTTATCGTATAGTTGATTCCTTGGTAATGACACTTGTTTACTTAGCATATTATTCTTTCTCAGTTGTGAAGAGATGAAGAATGATTTTTATAGGAATCTCATGCCCAAATTTTCTCTTCAACAGATTGAAGACATAGCAACCGAGATCAGCCATAGCGAACCCAGTGAATGCAGTGAAAGAAACATAGCAGCCGAGAGCAGTGGTAGCAAACTCAGCGGAAGCAGTGAAAGCAATGATGAAATCAATATTGAGTTTGTGGTTGATCCGAAAAAAGCAAGAATCGACATTTAATTGTTGCTGACATGTTGCTAGTTGTTGCAGTCAGAGAGAGTGATGGATCTTGGTCTTTTCAAGATACACCAGGTTACATATATCATTTGTACCAAGGTGAGGAGAATTATGTTAGGTTGTGTTTGAGAATTAGAATTTCGGAATTAGGATTTGGATTTAAGATATGGATTTAATTTCAAAGGGTTTTAAATTGAAGATTTGGAAATCCATAGATTTTATAAATTATCTCTATGCATACATTTATTAAATGAAAGGATTTCATATCTTTGATTTTAAATCAAATGTTTGGATACTGTTATTATACATGAAATTTAACTTTATTAACATTCTAGTGTGCTTGTAGCAAAATCAACTGAAGTAGCAAATTCCATAGCACTGAACCTCATTGAAAATTTTAAACGCAATGGAAGTGCATTGAAGAGTACAAATATTTGCATGTGAATTTGCAATGAAGCATAAACGAAAATTAAACTATTAATATAAAGTTGGCTTGAAATCTACCTATTTTGACAAAGAAATTAAGGCCAATATGAAATCTTTTTGGAGGTGTAGGATAACTAGAAAATCAAAATGACAATCTCAACCATTATCAATATGGCTTTTTCTCATAGAAAAGTTACAATTCTCACATAATGAGAGAAAAAAAAGTTAAATTGCATGATAAATTAGTAAATCAAAACATGCTGGACATCCTCAGTTTGGTATTGCTGCATACAAAGCATATTAGGGAGGAAAAAGAAACTTCTTTATTAAAGAAGAAGTATTTATTCAAATCTGTTGCAGTTTCTACTGTCTCTGAATTTTCTAAAGCTGCAGCTAATGCATCTAAAGCTTCATATTCCTCGACAGGTTCAAAGCTATCATTCCCCTGGGAAAAAACGAAACACGAACTGCTTAAACACGGTTAAAAAAAAGGCCAATGACAGGAAGTTCCATTTGAATAGTTGGATAAGTACATTTCAAAATCATAATGCCCAAATAAACAACTTTAAAACTTTTAATTCTTCAGAAGAACAACATAACTAACTAGTACTTGTCTTTTCTTCAATCCTTTAACCTTTTAATTACCAGCATTCATTAGTAAAAATCCTATACACTTTATACAAAGACAGACATCAGAGTGTCCTCTAATCTTGTTGCTGGTAACAAAAACTGACACTAAATTTAACAAAACTAGCAAACATGAACATAAAGATATAAAGTCTATCAACATAGTGAAAGCCCATTCTTATTTTTCATGTACACAGATTATAATGAAATATGAAAAATAAGATACAGATTATATTACAGTTAGAGATAGAGAACACTCCCAACTTTTATCAAATGAGGACTTATTAACAATGTTATTACATGCTGATGTGAAATGGTGACGATATGCTTTTGATGCATTATATGAAGCTATGCACCTCCAGATCTTCATTATCACTCATACATTCCACCAGTGTTCCATTACTTTCTCACCTAAAAACTAAAATTTCCACGCATTATGACACTACTACATTCTTGTACACTCTACACTACTATAGAACATTCAACCATGTTCTAAAGGAGTCTACACATTCCATAATGTTCCTAGCGTTCTAGAATATTACACTCTTCTAGGACACTCTTAACTGATGTAGAAAATTGTAGAATTACGTATTTCCCTTTCTCACATAACCACAGTGTTTGGACAAATACTAGGTAGACATGATCAGAGTTTTGAGTTCTTTTCTAAGATTAGCATAGATGAAAACAAACTCATAGTGAGCAAATATGTGAAAACAAATACTAGATAGACATGATTAGAGTTCTGAGTTTTTGCCCCCCTGGTGTTTGGACAAATACTGGGTAGACATGGTTAGATTTTTGAGTTTTGAGTTCTTTTTACCCATCTCAATGATGTGCTCTTTCCTTTACATGGAACAGGGTTGAAACTGAGACAGTATATTCTCTGGATTGGTTGTCTGCTTATGCATCACGACTCTGAGGTAGATGAGTACAAACTGATTTATTTCAATTGAAAGATAAGGGTGCAAAGTGTTTAACGTCTCAGATTTGATATCTAGGTGGTCTATATAAATTTTCTTGATCATGAAAGTCTTATCGACAATGAAAAGAAGGAACTCAGACTTATATTAGAAGAGAAGGTTGTAATATATCTAATTCTTTGTTTTTTTCAATTGTTTTACTTTATCCATTTTCTGTGTGAATAATGTTGTCCTTATTTTATAGAGATGTTATCCTATTTTTATAAGCAAGGCAGAGCTACAGCAGTGGAGGAGATATTGTAGTGTTCTTCTATCTCCATTGTTTCACTATTCAAGTTTCGAACTTCGAGATATTTTTGATATGGATGAATGTTATATTGGCTATGACCTTGCATGCGGTTGCTTTGGGGATGAGATAAAGAGGGTTCATAAAGAAGGCAATACATTATTGATCATGGACTACAAACTAATGTTGTTGCCAAAGAAGATTTGCAGCTTCCGTGATATTAGAATAGGGTGGTTTTGCAACACCCCATTCCCTCCACATGGAGTACTCGAGACATTATGAGTTGATGGATGGTGTTTTGCATTCAGATGTAGTTGGGTATGTGGCTTTTCGTCTCATCTGCTTTTTTGAGTCTTGTAGATGTTCTTTAAGTTGAAAGATGATTTTCCTTCTTGTAATGATTTATATCCTTTCAGTTTCTTATCGTTAAGTCTTTCTGCTAGCATAATCTTTGCTGCCACATAGAAATGCTAAATAGAGGAACTGGCTAATAGTACATCATACTGTACAGTATGAAAGCTCCCATGTTTGTTGACTAATTTTCTGAATTATTTCCTCAATTCCATGTTATATCCCTGGAAACAGGGACATGGTAATCATGGCTGCTCATAGGAACTGATGCATGCCATACTTGTGCACACACATTGAGTCACATCTTAAAGCTATATCTACTTTTTAGTACGCCTTTCAAAAGTATACTTCAAACCCGAAAAAAAGAAAGAAAGGAATTGCAAAATGAATTACACAACATGACACTGTAATTTACATGATGATGCCATTTGATTCTTAGACTTCAAACGTTATGCTCAATATTGGTTGAATGGACATTACACTGGAAGCTGGAGTCCTTTGGGTTATTTGCGGAGATCTTTCTATCAACCATTCAACAGTTCAACTGTTTGATTTGTTGTGATTGGATGTATTCCTTTATCAAGAGGAATTAGATGCATTGTTCTGATTATTGCCTTGACAAGGGCTTCATTTTGATTATGGCTCAGGATTTAGTGGAATTTGGGAGATTGGAGACAGCAGCTTTTGCGCCACCTCTCTATCAATATTTGTGATTCTTTAGTTTTTGCGGATATTTGTTTGATTTATGCCATACTGCATACCATTCTCTTGTTACAATGCTCTTGCATTTAGTACACTCCTTGTAACCCTTGCCCTTTTCTTGACAGAAAGAACGTTTTTAAGCATTAGATCTGTGCTAGGAACCCAATGGCTGTGTAGAAATTAATTGGCCTTTATTATGAAGTCTAACCATTATGAAGTTGAACTTGGACCAAACATTTTATTTACCACAGAAGTTCATGATATAATCTTTTTAGTCATTGTATTTGCATACAACCGTAGGAATTTGCCAGTGTAAATTCACATGTAAGTCATTGAACAATAGTCATCATATATGCTCAAAACACGAGAAATTATCATCCTATTTGAGTTGGTTAAGTGACAACAATCCAAATCTTTGAGCTTAAAGAATTTTTATATGGCTCCTAGAATGCAAGTTGTTTGACATTTGTAACTATATGCTTTTTTCAGCATATGATACCCTCCTTTAGCCTCTATCACATGAATTTCAACTTGGTTCTGCCCAATTATTTCAAAATAACATGAGAAAAACAACACTTTTTGTTAAGAATATCAGCACAAATTGCACAAATTACATGACACATCAGTAGCTCTAGTTCTTTCAGGTATTTTGATAATAGATTTTATTGATTCATTATTCTCTTTTTGCTTCAGTTTCCACAGCGCTGACTATGTAACCCATTTTTTGGACACTTGCAAACTGGCCCTCATTGTGGAGCTGAAAGAAGAAAACCTCGTGGTATACCGGAAGTCATACATCCGTGTAAAAGTGGTATGATTATTTTACATATTTTATACTATATATATCTTAAAGTTTTAGTTGAGTATATTTTAAATGGATATTGAATTTTAGCTTCCATTGGGGATTCATGTGGAGAAGTTTTGTGAAGCTTTTGATCTAATAGAAGTTCAGAGTCTGGTCGATCCTGCAGGATTTAAGAACAAAAAGGTTA